CTGTTTCCCCATCTGCAAACTCGGGCTGGGAAATCAGATTAACATATCTGAAATGCCTGGCACATATTTGTAGTAAACTATAGTTTGGACTTCATGACCTTGGGCAAAAGTCACTGAACTCCGAGCCATGTTTCCATCATGTACATAATGGCTGGAAGAGCGTGAGGACATAGAGCAGAAAACATTTTGTAAGGTGTGACGTACTTGATGAATGTAAAAATTCTTGTCGCTTACAGGTTGTTCAGGTAACTCAGGAAAGCCTCTTGTGTATATCCACCAACCCAAGATGTGCCCTGAGTCAGCGATCCATGAGCAGTGTTAAGAGGGGACTAGGATGACTTCCAAACAGTTTGCCAAATGCTGTGAGCATCATATGCAACATACCCTTCTGGGGAAAGAGCCTATAGCTTTAAGTCTATTTTCAAATTATATTTTCCATAGTTTCCCAAAAGGTCAGGAAACACCACTCTGCTGTCATGAAACTATAGGAAAACAAATTTCCTGATATTGCTGCTAAATCTTAGACAATATTGCTGTTAATTCCTTAGGGTATGGGGAGAGAATAGAGCCAACACTGTAGACGTCTGGGGCAAATCCATGTATGGGTCTATTTTCCCTGGATCTTCCTCTGCCAGACCCTGCTTGTTTCTAGAAGCACTGCACCTGAGCTGGAGCTAGCTATTCAGTCTAAATAGCCCTGCCCATTTGCAAAGTCCTCTCATGCTATTCCCAGAGTAATTCCAAACAAGCCTGCGAGCTCATTTAGAATTATATCTTCCATTTTGTTAATGGTGAAAAGGGCTCTGAGCTGCTTGGGACAGTGGCCAACAGAGTTGGTGTGCAAAGCAAAATTAGCACTGTGGGCAGTAAGGACAAGAGTCAGAGAATCAGAGTTGCAGGCCAGGTTCTGCTGCCATGTGCCTGATAGAACAGGATAACTCAGGGCTCCATTATAGATCCTTGGTGAAGAGGGAGAGGGCAGCTGGGGGTGAGCCCCTTGTCAGATGAAGTGTTTGGCCCTGGCCACCTCACTTTCTGGCCCACCCTAAGGATGGTGAAGGTGGGTTACAGTCCAACACCAGCAACCCTTCTGAGAAGTTGCCATGATCTCCTCCTTGCTTCATTTCTCCTTGAGGCTGTCATACTTGGGGTGAGCCCCCAGGCACAGGGGGCCTTGGGGTGGAAGCTCAGAGCAGCCTCACTGGAGGTACTGGGAAAAGCCCCTCTCTTGCTGTCTTGCCCTTCCTTTGGTTTGGGTGACCTTGTACCCCACAGGGGCATTATGTTCTCAGATCTGAGTTTGAATGTTGAAGGGAACAAATGGCCTCCTTTGGTACAAGGAGAGGGTGTCCCTGCACAGTTCAGCCTTCCTAATTGTGGCAACAATAGCCAGCACATAAGTAGTTATGTAGCGTGGTGCCAAGAGTTTTGTGCCAGTATTAAGTGCATTTAATTCTCTCAACAACCTAGCAAAAAATGCTATTATAATCCCTTTCTAAGAGAGAGGGAGATTGAGGTATAAGGAAGGGAAGCAAATGACCTGCTCAAGGTCACACAGCTGGTAAGTGGTGGAGCCAGGATTCAAACCAGATAAGCCTGGCTTCACAGTCCATGTGCTTAACCACTGCACCACATTGCCTGTCCAAGAGAAAAAGCATCTTTTTTGGCACTGCCTCATTTGTGCATGCATCTCCATCTGGGTCTTGCTGGGAGGAGGGATGCCTGGGACAAGGTAGAATTTATGAATACCTGGTTTGAATGGTGCATCTGGTCTTAGTTTCCTCATTTGTAAAGTAGGGGCTGTTTATGCCCTACTTGCTTACAGAGTTTTTGTGTGGATCAAATGAACCTCAGTGCAAAGGCTTGTAAATACCAAGCACTGCTCAATAAAAGGCATCGCCATTATCATTATTGGCCGAGCAGTTCTGAGTGTCCCAGCTGCCCAGGGTGCAGACTATGATTCAGCTGAAGCTGGTGATTAGGGGCCTCTTTACCTGCTTTTCTAAGTCCCAAGCCTCCATCTCTCTTCCTCCCAGTTTTTCCTCACAGGAATTCAGAGGCGGCATTGTGTCCTCTAGCCCAGAACTCGACTCAAATCCCAGGAGGAGAAGATGTGTCAAGACACTGACCTGTCTAGCCAGTGCACTGTCTGGGTGCCCTGGCCCGCTCCCAATACTCAGAGGCAAGCATTGCCAGACTCCACTGGTCACTTGCTGCTGTTTTAGCATCTCTGTTCTCATTTTCCCTCTACCCCATTCTGCCACACAGACCAGTGTCTGTCATAAGTAGGTCATAAATAAGTGCTGCATTGCACTTTTGAGAAGACCAAAATCCAGGTCCCGGGACAAGGGGTTACAGGAAAAACGAGTGAAGAAGAAAGAAGAATGGGTGGTCTATGTCATGTTTCTAAGATTGTCCCTTCCTGCCTACAATAGCGGCATTCCCATTATTTGTAGCAACAGATTCATTGAGCATCTGTCTGTCTGGCCACCTACTCTAATGGCAACTTGAAGGAAGGCTCCATAATTTGAGGGGAGCCCACCCTATCTCCAGGTACTTTACTCACTCTGAGCTGGTGTGCTTCTGCAGGGACAACCAGCTCCTGGTTGCTTGAGGTGTAAAGGATGGAAAGAGGGAGTCATTTCAACTCTAGGAGTCAGTCTGGCTCAATTTGGGGAAGATGGGTGGTGGGATTGCTGGGCTCCCTGTTTGCCAGATAGGGGTACATGCTGCAGAGAGATATGGGGTATCTAGGCAGCACAAAGGAGTACTGGTGGGGCCTGCCTTTCTGGAAAGTTCTGGAAATGGAACTGTGCTAGGTGGGTGCCCTATGAGCTTTTCATTTTACAGATGAGGAAATTGAGGCTCAAATAGGTGAAATGGCTTGGCCAGGGTTGCATGGGAAGTGGCAGAGCTAAAACCAGAGCTAGCTTTCAAGGCAGATGGGAAGAGCTCTCAGTTCCGATGCTTATTAACTTTGGACACCCTCTGAACCTCAGTTTTCCCTGTCCATGCAGTGGGAATGATAATGACCCTCAGGGCTGTTCTGAGGCCTGCATGAGATAATCTAGGGGGTGTCCATCCTCGTCCTTTCCACTGCACACACTAATCTTCCAGATGGGGCAGCTTTGGCTTTTGAGGGATCCAGAGGCTTGAAATGTTCATAATTTGGGTCATTTTGAGGACACATTTTGGTGAGTGTTTGGGTGACAGAGTAGCTGCAGTGACTAAGGAGCTAGATGGACCAGAGAAGCAGGAGGGAAATGTGAGTCTTCCCCAGCAGCTGGCTGCACTCTGCTCCTCCCTTGTTAGTGTCTCCCGCCACCGTCTTGGGGACTTTCCTTCCTCCCATGACCCTTCTTACTTAGTCATAAAAAGAAGTACCATTATTTTCTGTTTTTAATGAATAACTCATCATACTAATTTTAAAACCAGCCCCCTGTCATTTTATTCTGTATTCATCCACACAGTAGTATTTATTGAGTGTCAACAGTGTGCTGGTCACTGTGTCAGGGGTTGGGGACATAGCAGTGAACAAAGCAGTTTCAATTCCCTGTCCACATGGAAGTTACATTCTGGTGGGGTGATTATCCCCTCCATCCACACCTCTCACTTAGTATATTTAGTTTCTATTATTACCACTTTCCTTTCTTAGCTGATTTGTGTGCATGTGTGTGAGTCAGTGGTCTTCCACGTAGAACAGTCCCCACCATGGCTGAAGTCCATTGCCTAGTATAGTCAGACTTGGTTATAAACCAACATGTAAAGGAAAACAGAGTGAGTGCAGAACAAATAGTACCTCCTCCCCGTCATGCTGTTTTCCAGGACTTGGTGACCATTTCAGTTTGGCCCAATGAGTGGTGGCAATTGGATGTCCACATCGCCTTCTCTCCTGCTGTTCTGCAGAGTCCTTGAGGGCAGGCCTTGGGTGCTCCATGGGTCACAGTGCTGGGCATGTAGTAGGGGCTCATAAAGATTTGTTGAAGAAATGTGGGTAGATGGGTAAATGGATTATCAGAGCTTCTTAGAACTGCCTGGGGGTCAGGGCAGGATCTGTCTTGATTGGGGTATCTGGCTTGAGAGGTGCTTTCTCCAGGAGCAGACCAAACCCTTCATAGGGTGGGGGACAGAGCAGAAGCCCTTTCCTTCCCGCTGAGTCTCTTTCCCCTAGAAACCAAGTTGCCAGTCTTCTTGCAGCTGCTGAGGTTTACAAAGTTCTCGGGAGTGTCTGTGAGTGAGGGACGGTCCTGCCTACCAGGAAATGATAACCTCAAGAGCAAACCCAGCACAAGGGAAAAGAAGGCTGTCAGTTGCTTGTGCAGTAAATGCTATAATCCGCTCAGGGAGGGGAGCGGGACCTTATCCCTCTGAGTAGGAGATTAAAGGCCTGAACTTGCGATTGCTGCTCGGCTGGGGACCTCTGCTGTGCACCCACAGGGGGCCCGGAGAGCAAGGAGAACACAGCTGCCGCTGGAGAAAGTCAGCGTCGGGGAGCGCTGGTGGCGGGCTGTTGGAAACAAATGGGGCAAAGAAACAGTTTCGATGCTATGGATTGGAGCTGATGTTGGCAGAACATCCGGAAACGACTTACTTGCCTTCAAAACCAATAGGGAAACTGAAGTTAGTGAGCCTAGGACAGACCTCGCTGAAGCCCGCATAGGGTTTTCAACCCCCGACCTTCTTCCCTCCCTCCCTCCCAGAAATACCTGCACATCAACCCACACACCACCCCGTCGGGAGCCCCGGGCCAGGCGATGCGAGAGGCCCCCCGGGCGGCCCCTGCTCTCTCCTCTCCACTCTCGTCCTCGGGTGGCCCCCAGCGGCGTCTCCTCAGCCTCCCCACGCCCAGCTGGCTACCGCCCAGCTGGCTGCCGCCCCCACCACATCTGGCCTCGGAGCCTCGCCCTGCCGCTGTCGTCGGGGTTTGCCCCCTGTGTGTGTCAGGCTGTGGGTAAGCAGGGCGCCGCGACACCCCGGGGCTTTCGTCATTGTTTACTTAAAAGGAGCTCCAGCAAATCACCAAACCACATCAGAACAGAAAGTACAAACGCCTGAAATGGAGGAGTTTGCGGAGCAGGGACCCTTCAACCCAAGACGCTCAACATTAGCCCAGTGAGCACAGTCTCCTGGAAACCAGGCTCCTTTGGTTTGGTTTTGCTTTCTTTTCCTTTCTCTTTTCTTTTTCTCTCCTCTCCGCTCCTTTTCCCTTCTCTTCTCTCTCTTCCCTTCCTTCCTTCTTCCTTTCTTTCTTTCTTTTTTTTTTTTTTCACTTCCACCCTGTGTTAGTCTGTGTCTTCCAAGAAGCAGATGCCAAGATAGGATTAAAGGAGCCTCAGTTTTTCTGGGGAAACACCTGTGGGAGAAAAATGGGGAGGGAGCTAAAAAGGCTGAAGGAAGCGATGCAAGTCCGACCTTGAGTGCAGGATGAAGGTTGGGCGGAAAGCATGCTTGGCTGCCTTGCAGTCTCAGGAAGGTTCAGCAAGGCTGCTGGGGCGTCTCTGAACCCGAGTTGCTGTCTCAGGGGTCTGGTGTCTCCCAGGCACGGGCCTGCTGCACCATTGCTGTCGGGCTCTGTCACTGGCTGGGAGCAGCCTGAGGGCAGCAGGGCCTTGGTGTGAACTGATGGGCTTCAGAGCCTGGCACCCGGAGGCTTGGTCAATCCTGGCCCTGTGGCTGGAGGTCTGTCAGGCACATTCTCGTGACCACGGTGGCCCTATCTGGTTTGGCATGCCTGAAGCCAAGTCACAGACTGCTTCTGTCCTTCCATGGACTCTCACTCTTTCTCTAGTCTTCCTCTAGATATCCACATGACTTACTTCCATACAGCCTTCTCTGCAAGGCCTTCCCTGGCCGTCCCATTTGGACCTGAGACTCTCTGTTCACGGCCCATTTGCCTCTTTTGCTGCTTCATTTTTCTGCTGAGCTTTTACCACTCTGTAACCTACCGTATATTTTTCTCATTTATTATTTATGTCTCTCACCCCTACCAGGGTGTAAGTTTCAGGAGGGAAGGGATTTTTGTCTATCTTGCTCAGTGTTGTATCTCCAAAGCCAAAATGGTGCACAAACATAACGGATACTTACTGAATGTATACAATGACTACTGCTCAGAGTGACTTGGGCTCAGTATCTCCAGCAGCTGTGCAGACCCTGGGACAAGGGCTGCTTCCCTTAGAGCTTGAGGGCCTCACGCCCTTTTCCCGGAGCTGGAGAAGTAGGTGCTATCGTACAGGGACTGATAACATGGGGGTTGGCACTGGACAGACTCAGGTACTGGTCCAAGCTCCGTCACTTACCAGCTGTGTGTGACCTTGAGCAAGGCACTAAGCCTCTCTGAGCCATTGCTCCCTCACCGGTGAAATGAGGACAACAGCCTACCTACCATTGTCAGCATGGCTTTAAGGTTGAGAAGGTTCTGATTACCTCAACTAAGTCCTGAAGACTTTTCCTATATAAGAGTCAGCACTCACTAATGGTTAATCAAGAAATTATTTCTTTCTTCAAAGAAGGGAGAGCTTCATTTACACACCCTCTGCCCCAGGTCCTTTGGTGCCCTTTCTCATGCTCCCTCCATCTGTGACCCTCCTCCCCTCGAATAGCAGTAATGTGCTGGAATTCCTAGGTCTCCACCACAACTATTAACTACCACTTCTTATGGGCCATTACTCTGCATACATTATTATATGACTTAAATAATTAGAGCTCTATGATGACGGGATCACATATCTGGTTCCCTGCTATTTCCCCAGAGTCAGGCACTGAGGTATTCAGTAAATATTTGCTAAATTATGACAGCTAACGGAAAGGTTGGCATTTGCATTCCTATTTTACAATATGGAGAAGGAGGCTTGCCCACAGTCACACAGCAAGTTAAGTGGCAGAGCCAAGGCTCAACGCAGATCTGTCTGACCTCCAAACCTGAAAGTTTTCAATTCTATGGCACTGCTAGAAGGCGGTTTTTTGACATAATCCCCAGGGGAAAAGCCCAGGGTACAGGCATGGATTCATAATAGTCTCAGGACTCATCCAGCCCTCTCCAGCGCTCTGATTTTAGAAAGTGTTAGGGCACTCCAGTTCAGTGTTGGCGAGGAGCACGGCCTCAAGAACATCGTGCCTTTAGCCCATTGACTTTTATTGCCAGCACATTATTTTCCAGGTTGAGTGAACATCCTTGGCTGGAAGATAGACTTCTTTTCATTTTTTTTTAGCTGCTCCTGAATTCTTGACAATGTTGAGTCATTCCTTGGCAGAACATTGCTAATGTTGTGGCACTCAGTACAATTGACGTGGGCCAAATGGCTCCGTTAGCTAACCTAGGGTTTCTTCCATCACAGCAGAGTTTAACCCTGTTCTAGCCAGTCTAGAAAGAGTGGTGGCAGCTTTTTAATCCTGGCATAATGTTTTCAAAATCTCAAGGGTGGGCAGAGGTAGTTGGAAGACAGAGGGAGTGTATTTGTATGTTTGCAAATGATGAAGTCTTTTAACAATTCAAGCTGGGCTGTTTGTGCTGAAATAAGACTCAGGCATGCACACAAATACACAAACACCCTGTGATGAAAATCTTGAGTCTTTATTGTACAAACAGCTGTGTTTGCCTTTAAACAATGCAATTAAAATAGTGTTACAAATGAGTAGAGTGTGGCATTATCTAAGGTCAGCTCTTTGAGGGTCAGTAGAAGAGCTGCTGACGGGGTCTGGGTTTTGGGAGGCATCTCAAAGGCTCTTCTTTCTTGAAGCCCCTCACAGTGTTCTGCTTTTGGGGGGGGGGTTGTGATTTTTTACCATTGGTCCCCGGTTGAGGGTAAGCTGAACTTTGAATAAACCTGAGCCTCCAGTGTTGCTGGGGGTGATAGAACAGGAACTGTCAATCAGTGGTTGTCCTGTTTAGAATTCCTAACCACAGGCCACAGGAAATTTTGTTCAGTCTCCTTCTTTCTTCATGCTATGACTCTGCCAAATCCTGACTGTAGCCCTGATCAGAAGCTGCATAGTGGAAGGTGAGTCAGCATAGTCTTCTTTTTCTACCTTTAGCTCTTGGGGTTCCTGGCTTCTTGTCCCCTATCTCCATGGAGCCACTGTGGGAAAGGCCTATGTGGCAGATTCAGAGGGTGTCACTGATGAACCAGGAGACCTGGATTCTAATTCCAGCCCTTCTGGATCTTTATTCCTTGACCTTGGGAAAATCTTCCTTCTCTGAGCTTCAGTGGCATATTGATTCTGTGATTCTGGAAATTGATAAAACAAAATTCTTTTCTCTCTCTGTCTCTTTTTTACAGCTGGGAAGTCTGAGCATTTGGCCTCCATCTCTGGTTCTTGCCATGTGAGATGCTTCTAGTCTCTTTGGGTCCCTGTTCTTTATAAATACCCTCTTGGCCACACCTTCCAGTACATGCCTGGGGTTTTTAGTTAGGAAATCTAAAGTTGGCAATAACTTGAGAGGAGACTTAAATATTGGACCATCAGAGACCAAACATGGGTTTCAATAAATGAAACTTCAGGTTTTAAATATTCAAGTCCAATTCCTTCAGAAAAGTTCCTGAAAATAAAGATTATCCACTTAAAACATTCAAAGATAGCATTTACGAAAAAGGCACTTTGCAGGTAAATCAATCTTAATGTTGCCTTTCACGATCCCAAACTCCTCAGGCCCTAGTGAGAAGAGGCCCTTCTGTCTTTCCTGGGGCCTCCAGTCATCAGCGTCCTCCCTCGGTGTGCCTGCTGCTGGGGGTCCCTCTGCTCTTCTCTTGACAGTTATGAGAAAACTGGGGGATTAGCCATGATTACAGCTGCCCTGTGCTGGCCACTGATCTCAGGAAGGATCCTGGTCATTTGGCTCCCATCTGCAAGCAATTATAGTGGAAGGAAAGGCAGTGAGCAGAATGTATAACCTCCAGCTCAACTCTATAACTTTGGAGTTTTCTCTCAAAACTCTTATGCAGAGAACAGTTTTTTAGAATTCTCTCTTACCACTCTTGCACATGTTTCTGAGTTTCCTAGGGTAAATGAAGCAAAACCTTCTCCCTGTCTTTGGATTATTATTTTTTTTAGTAGCTTAGAAGTTAGGAAAATGTAAGTGATAAAGTAAACAATGATATTCCTTATCTTAGATCAGTATTTTTTTTTATTACAGAAGAATTATAGTCATTTGAAAAATGCTAAGACATACTTGTGAGAGGCATATTATTCATTCTATAGATTCTTCTTAGTTGTTGTGCAGACTTGGGGATCCCCTATAATAATTCTGGGGCTCCAGTAGGATCTATTGCTCACAGATTGGGCAGAATGAAAAGAATATGTATTCATTAGCATATACTGTTTCCTACATATCTGCCACTATACTAAGTGCTTTAGATGCATTCCATTTGATTCTCATAATAACCTTATAAAATAGATAATGATATTATCTCCATTTTATAGATGAGGAAACACAGACTTTGAGAGTTAAAATAATTCACTCAAGCCCATACAGATGTAGGTTGCAGAGTCAGGATTTAGACCCATATATTTGTGATTTCAAATCCATGTTCTTAATCACAGAAGTAGGATTTGGCTTATACTGCTGTATATCATTTATAACTGGCTACTTTGAATGTAGCACTTTGTATCTTCTATAGATCCTGACACATAGGAAAGGATCAGTAAATGCTTTTCCATTAATTGATTAATGGTGAAGGTTTAAAATTTTTTAAATTCCTATGATTTTGCTACTTATTTCCAAACAGTGGCATTTTAACCTTCTTGAGATCTTGAAGATCTTGGATGGCTTTGGTTGACAAGTATCATTTAAAATTTTGAATTCCAAATCAGGAATTAATAGATAGACATCAGGGGAGGAACTGAACTTCCTGACTCATGATCTAATTGGGAGTTTGATGAAGACAGTTTTGTTTGCAAACCATGAGTGTCATTCATTCCATTTCCTAGAGCATTCAGTTAAGCTTCTTTATCATCATCACCACCAAAATCATTATCATTAGTATATATTTACAGAGTTCCTGTGTCTCACAAGGAACTTTTGTAGATTCTGAGGATAGAAATACAGAGATGTGATACAGGTCCTGTCCTTTTCTTGGGGAGATTCCAACCCAAGGGGAAAACCAGGGAGAACCTCAGTGTGGAGGTTCATTTATCCTGGGCCTGCAGAAGAGAGTTATTTGGAGGAGAGGGGGAGCAGAGTTAGGGCTTGCACTATTTTAGACAGAAGGAACAATATAAACAAAGGCAGACAGATTTGGAAATGCATGTTTAAAGAAATGCAAGCAGTTGAATGGGGGATGTTTAAAAGTTGTACTCCATCTAGAATATATCTTAGGTGATGTGAGGTAGGGATCTCACTTTATTTTTTTCCATGTAGATGATTAATTGTCCCAATGCCATTTAGTGAATTGTCAATCCTTTCCTCACTAATTAAAAATAACGCCTGTTTCTTATACCAAATTCCCTTAAATATTTGGGTATGTTTCTGGATTCTGTCCTGTTTCATTGTCTTCTTTCTCTGTACCTAACCCAGTATCCCATTATTTAAATTCATAAAGCTTTGTAATACGTCTTGACATCTGGCAAACAAACCCCTCTCTTTATTTTTTTTTCAAAATAGTTATGGCTATTCTGGAAAATTGACTCCTCTGTATGAATTCTAGGAGGTGCTAATAAAATTCCATGAAAAATCACTGAGGGCCTGAGGGGAATGCCATGAGGCGTAGAGGGAGTGCAGTGGGCAATGAGGCTGGTAAAATAGTCTGAAGGTCAAATAATGGACACTTAGGCTGTCAAGACAAGAGAACAGAGCTTATAGCACTTCTGTGCATTTCTAAAGAAGCTGAGATAAATTCTGGATTCTGGCCCCTCCCTTAAGACACATGTTTGCAATGCCTTGCACACAGACTGCTACAGATTGAGCAGAACACCCATGTCCTCAGAACCCCATGTGGCCTTCTAAAGAGAGAGCTCAGCCTGTGCTGAAAGACCCAAAAAAACCTTGACCGTCTCGCCTATTCAGAATGCAGAAGTGACTGAACTTGAAACCCTGAGGCAGCTCCTTTCTCTCTGCCTTGGTCTTCTCACTGCCTCTGCCCCTTTACACACACAGTCCTCCCTGTCTGCCATCTGTCACAGTTACAGATGATTGCACAAGGATAAGGAGAGAGAGGCAGCTGCCCGTTGTGTCTTCCTTCGAGGACGAATGTCAGCCCTGGATCAGAAATCATGGGAAATAACCCTGGCCCTTGGGTGAGCAGAGGGAGCATGAGCGCCTTTCAGACAAGCCTCTGAGGACAAGCTGCCCTCTCATCCGTCCCATTCCATTAGCTACAAGACAGAGACATGTGTGCAGGGAAGTGCTTCTCCTCTGCTCGCCTCTCCAGCTTTTCTTGTTATTTATTAATTTATTTCTTCATTCAACAAGTATTTATTGAATACTTGCTATAGGTGAGGTGTTGGAAAAATGACGTGTACAAAATATATTTGGTTTTTGTCTTCATGGGGCTTACAGTCTGGTGGGGGACACAGCCAGAATAGGCTAACAAACATACACATATTTGTTTTCTCCGCTGCCCTCCTCTCCTCTGAGCACAGCTCTCAGGAAGCCTTTGGGTAGAGGTTAGGTGGAGGTGATAGATCCATATATAAAGACTCTAGGGTGGGAGAATAATAGGTGATTTCTTCATGTAAAGGAAAACCTAAAAGGATCTTGAAAATCTTACCTAGGTTCCCCTTTTCTGGCCCTACCAGGTGATTCCTGTCTCCCTTTTTGAGGGTCAGATACATGTCCCATGTCTGAATAACCGCTCCCATTGAATGACAAGAATTGTAGGAGGATGGAGGAGTGTTTCTGCTCTATGCAAGGGCGAGGAGAACAGTGAGTGAGTCATTCTATATCCAAAGGCGATGGGGAGGAGGACAGGATGTCCTGGCAGGGGGACCCTCACTTCCCAGAGGCAGTCTATAAAGCATCCCATCCCAGAGGGGTTCCTGGTTCTGGTGACTATGATGTGACATGTATGATTGAGATTCTGGGCTAACTGTGCAGCCAGACTGATCTGAGAGCAAGGAAAAATGAAAAAGGGAGGGAGCAATGGTGTGGCCTTGAACACAAAGCACAGCCCATTTCATGGGGAGGATGGAGGAGACAGGAGCAATGTAGATCAATGAAAGGAGAGTCAGAGGGCTCTTGACCAGAGCAAAAATTATGAAGAACTGTTTTCTAGAACTCTAAGGATGGAAACCTTTTAATATTTGAATATAGGCACATAGGATTTGTTGAAAATCAAATGACAAACTGTAAGTATGGCCTTGGAAAAATCATGGGGCATCAGTTTCTGCATTTATAAATAAATAAATAATGGTTGGGAGGTTGGGATGGGGTGTTGAGAGTCGTATTTAATAATTTCTAAGGTTTTTTTCACCTTTAATATGTGATTCTGTTTTTATCCCCATGGAGCAGACATCATGTGTCTAGAAATGTGTAGAGGAAAGTTGTAAGTTTACTTTTGGGAGTTTATGTTCTCTTTGAGAGCAACAGATATCTCCCTAGCACAGAAACTTGCATAAGTGTTGTTGGATGAATGAATGAGGAAAAAGTAAAATTTCCTTCTCACCAAGGAGCCTACTTCCGGGTTGAAGAGCCCAGATAATACACTTGAAATAGTTAAAGAAGTCAGCTGGACAACCCATATTTAAGTTCTAAAATGACTCCCTGGTTCCAGGTAGCACTGTAGACAGCCCCATGGTGCTGGTGCCGAAGGTAGAGCTAGAGGGGAATATACTTTCCAGTTCAGTGTTCACTGACTCCATTCATCCTGCAAACATTCACCGAGAGCCTGTTATGTGCAGGAAGCACCCAGGTACAATAGGAAAGGAGTCTCTGAGGTTTTAAAGTTGAAGATAACCTTAACGGAAATGACCAAAACTATTACACAACCAAAGTTTGCAAGAAAAATAGGAGAGGAAACACACAAAAAAGACAATTTCAGTTTAGAAAGTTGAATTCAGGAAGGTTAGGAAACTTTTAATAATAGGTACCTGTCTTGCCAATGGGTTTCAGCCCCTGGCAAGTTCGCTATGGATTCGATGTGACCGAAGAAATTGACAGCAAAACGTTCTTTGGGGTGAAAGAGTTTATTACCCGGCGTTCTCCAGGTGGTAGGTCGAGCACTAGCATCTCTGCCTCTGCTCGGACCAGTGGGCCAAACTCTCTATACAGCGCAATAATAGCTTATTGCCTAAAGGTGTGGAAGTGGTAGCCTAGCAACAGGCCAGTTACATCATCAGGTGGTTTAAGATCAGTGAGTATCCTGGCCATAGGAACCCCAACTTCCCCACAGTACCATTTACTGAGTGTCTACTATAAGCCACTCTGTATACACATTCTTTCTAAATAGTCCCGTAAAATAGGAGCCCAGAGAGGGTGTGGGTCTCAAATCCCATGGCATGTAAGCAGGAGCAGGATCAAGGTTGAAGTCAGCTTCAGATATGCTGAACCTTGGGTGGGAGTGGGTAGGGGTAAAGCAGGAAGGCTGTTTATCACATGATTCCATCATGACTCTGCCCCTTCCTCCAGCCCTCATTCTCTGCCTTGTTTTATTCTGAAGACAGGCTCTGACCAGGCTGTGACAAGGTGGGCTGCCATGAGTCCCAGAATCACACCCTTTCTAATTTGCAACACCAGCTGAAAAGCATCTTCTCTCTCCCAATTTCCATACATCAATCACAAAGGCTCTGATTGACCCAGCTTTGTTCTTGACCATGTATACTGATTGACAGGCACTAGTCTCAGGGCTTCACCTGTTGGAGGGAGAGGGGGTGCACTGGGAATGAGAATGGTGCCACCTGAAGTGAGAGAGGACCTTCCTAAAGAACCGAAAGAAAGATGATGGGAATCAGACTGAACAAATAAAAATGTTAAATACTCTGGAGCTCTGTAGTGGATACACACAGCTCTTGGAACTTAGGTGAGGGGCTCCTAGAGGAGCTCCTGAAGGGGTGTGGGGAGGCTACGGGAATCAGGGCAGGAAAGGTGAGCAACCCTGCTCAGTGGGCTCTTTGGGACAAAAGGCAGTCCTGGCTCCTGGTTTTTCCGGAGCTCAGCTTTATAAGGCAGAAGGTTAAACCTACCCACAAAACAATAATCCCCCTCTTTAGATAATTCTCTGGAGTTACCAAAGACTGTTTCACCATCTTTTCAGAGCCTCATAACAACTCTGGCAGGTAGTAAGGGCAGGTGTTATTTTTCTATTTTACAGGTGAGGAAACTGAGGCTCAGAGATACTAAGTGACCTGCCCAAGGTCACTCAGTGAAGCTGCAGCATTCTGTCAACCAGCTCTCCAGCATGTAGAATTAATTAAAAGGCCGAGAAAAAACTCCAGCATGAACAAGACTGGTAAGTGATAAGGAGGAATCTCATTGGTCAGACAAAAAGCTGCAGAGGGAACAAATTTGTCAGTTGGAAAGGCAAAAACAGGAAGCTTGGCCGGATTGCCCAAGAAGAGAACAAAGAAATAGTCAGAATTTATAGGTGGGAGAAGAGAAAAATCAAAGAAAAGAATGAGATGCACCTGCAAGACACATAAAAGGAAATAGAAAAACATTCTTTAAAATACATTACGAACAAGAGGAAGATAAGGAGGAATGTTTCTTCCTAATAGATGATGAAAGAAAGCTGATAATAGACGGCACTAGAAATGCATAGGTTTTTAATGCTTTATTTAACAGGTAGCTAGAACAAACTGCAGACAGACTAGAAGGCGAAGAAAACAATTAGAGAGTGAAAGGTGAAGAGGAAATGATGCAAGAAACTAAAGGTCTGGGGTCCCCAGGGACAGGGAGCTCTAGAATATCCAAGCTGAAGGGACCCTAGATGTCATCTGGCCCCATCTCTCGCTTTACAGACAATGACACTGAGAATCAGGGATGGGGAGTGAGCTGCCCTAGGTCACTCAGTATTAGAAGAGCTGGGCTTTTGGCTCTTGAGTCAGTGTGCTTTTCTGGCACCCTTGGGAGATGGTGAGAAGGGGAGAGGCAGTGATGGAGGGACCAAGACATATAAAATATAGTATGGGAAATGCACAAGTAACCTCAGTTGGGGTGAAAGGACAGGGCATAGGGGGGATCAGAGACACAAGGTAAGGAGTAGGCTGCTTGATATCATGGTTTAAGTCTTGGTGTTGCTCTGGCCTCCACTCTACCGTTTGGGGGTCTCAAGTTGTTAGACTTCCTCAGATCTGAGGGTCTCAGGATCACTGACTGTTGTCTACTACTTGGATACCACCTATCTTGCTTTGTCTCTTGAATCCATTTTCTATTGCCACGATAGTTCTAACAAACCACCCCAATATTCAGAGGCTTAAACTATAAGCATCTATTTAGTTTGCTGTGGGTCAATGATGGAGGCTGGGCTCAGCTGGGAGGTTTTCCTATAATGGCTGGTTTCTTCTGGAGTGGTTGGCTTGCTGTTGGCCGATCTAGGATGGCTGTCACTGGACGGCTTGGATGATTGGGGTATATGAGATGACTCAGTTCTCTGCCAAGTGTCCAGCAGACTGGGCCAGACGGGACCATAATCTCATGGTGCGACACCAGTGCATGGCAACAAGTGCAATCATCAAGGAACGGAAACACGCAGACACCTTTCAAGTTTCTGCTTGCACACGTTTGCTAACATTTCTTTGGCAAAAGAAAATTACATATCCAATCCAGAGTCAGAGTGGGTAGGACTACAAAATTACAAGAGGATGTAATTCAGCAACGCCATTAACTGGAGCTATTAGCAAAATCAGTCCACTGCCCGTCCTCTGTTCCCAGGGTCTTTGGCTCTGCTGCCTTACTCTACTTCCTACCATCTTTGTCCTGCTCAGTGAGATGCTCATATAGCTCCCCACCCTCATCACTGAGAGTTCTATGCTGCCTGGGATCCCATAGCCCATTTGCCAGTGGGACAACAATCTGAGTCTCACACACTGGTTCTGCCCAGGTAGACTTTTGGATATCTCCATCTAGGCTGAGCTTGCTTTTTCTCAGACAGTGACGAAGACACTGCAGCTCAGAGCCTGTCTGCTGCCACAAAAGTCTCAGAAGCCATACTTTTTAAAGCTCTTTAATTGGGAACCCCTGAATTCATGGGCATTTCTGAGCTGCTGTTCACTTCCAAGTCTTCCCTGCCCATGGAAGCTTATTGCCTAAAGGTGTGGAAGTGGTAGCCTAGCAACAGGCCAGTTACATCATCAGGTGGTTTAAGATCAGTGAGTATCCTGGCCATAGGAACCCCAACTTCCCCACAGTACCATTTACTGAGTGTCTACTGTAAGCCAGGTAGGTCCTCTGCAGCCTTTATGCTCTACACCACACTGGACTCTGTCTTCTGAGAGGGTGTTATGCGCTGAATTTTGTTCCCCCTCAATTCGTAAGTTGAAGTCCTAACCCCTCGTATCTCAAAATGTGGCTGTATTTGGAGACAGGATCTTTAAAGAGGAAACCAAGTTAGAATGAGGCCATTAGAGTAGGTCCTGATCCAGTTGTCTGGAGTATCAAAAGAGAGTAGGACCCAGATATGTATGAGCACAGAGGGAAGATCATGTGAAGACACAGGGAGATGATGGCCATCTACAAGCCAAGGACAGAGACCTCAGAAGAAGCCAACCCTGCTGACACCACGATCTCAGACTTCTGGCTCCAGCACTATGAGGAAATAGATTTCTGTTTTTTAAACTGTCCATTCTGTGATATGTGGTGCGGCACCTGAGCAGACTGTACAGAGGGAGAGGCCCGTCTTAGATGTTCATCTGACGCCATCAGGATGCTTGGGGATAGTCCTCCCTTCAGCACTGCAGCTCCAGACCCCAAGGCAGGGAAGCGCTCAGCGGAGACAACAGTCTGTGTGGAACTACCTCCTGGTTTCCATTCTGAAGACTGAGTATGTCCTGACCTCCCTACTAATGAGGTCCTGGTCAGAGCCTACTGACTGGGGAATGTATCCTGGCTGTGACCTCTGCCTACCCAGACAAAGCTAGGTTTCCCTCAGTCCTGGCTTCTCCACCTCCTCCTGCCCTGTGTCCCCTTCTGTCACCCCCCCTTCCTCCTCCTGCCCGTGTCCCCTCCTGCCCCTCTCCTCATTCCCATCATCCCAGTTCAAGCAACTCATCCTTTCCTGGCCTGGATCCTATTGCCAGGAGAGCAGTCTGGATTTTCATGAATTTAGAATGTCAAAGCCCATCCTCTTCTTACTATCACACTCAACAATATAAACTATTTGGCCTTCCTTTCTGAAAGAAACCTTAATGCCTCTAAAATTTGAGAGAGAAGAGAAAGTATGTTTCCTTATAAGGCAGTGAATAAGGATCCATGTTAAGTTCTGAGGCAGGAGAAAGCCTGTCAAAAGAAGCATTTGTTAGATGTGGAAGCACAGTTTAGACTGGCCACTGGGATGGGCTGGCAGCTGGGGGAGGGGCCAGGTGGCTCCTGCACTGGCAGGGGTGACAGAGCCCTGGGCTGGGAGTCAGAAGACCCAGAACTGAGTCCTGTACTTGTTGAGTATGATGCTATGTGCCATGTGGCCCCCTGCTGGGCACACAGCGCCGGATACGGCAGAACACCCTGCCCTCACACAGCGTTCACTCTCAGCACGACACTGGCATCGGTTCACATCTCAGCCTCAGTCTCCCATCTCTAAGACGAGAAGTCTGGACCATGATTTCTCATGTTTTTTTCTGCTCTAGCATTCCATAAGGGCTGTCCTTGGGTATGGCATCTCCTTACATCATGGCAGTGGAAGCTCTAAAAATGGAAAGGAAGGGATGAGTCTAGAGACATTCTCAAGAGTGAACTGACTGAAGAGGCAAAAATGCCTGAGGTTTAAAAACTGAAGGTTTTTCCATTGACAAGGAAAACGGAAAGTGAGGAAAGGATGAAGATATGAATGCTCGCCCAAATTAGATGACTTGTTGGTAATTATACAAACAAAGAGATCAAAATTATGTTTTTTTCTCCAAAGAGGGAAAAATCAGCTATACATATGAAAAGGTGTGTGTGAAGGTGTAGGAATTACTCAGTGGCTATATATGCATAAGGATGGACAAGCTCTAGAGGTCTTAGCAGAAATCAGTACTGCTGCAGAGGACAGCCACAGAATGGCAGCGCAATGACAGTTGGGAACTACATATACAGTGGCCACTGTCTTTGTGTGCTGGAGGCCACAGGACTGGAGAGGAAAATTGCTGGGTCATTGCTCCATTCCTGGGGGATTTTGAACCTGAAGTGATGTCCTTCTTAACGACACAATTTTTCATTTTCTGAAGGAACTGAGTGCATCCAAACCCTAAGTACCTACCATTTAGTCAACTCAAAAAAAATTATTGCAGTACCCTAATGTTCCAGGCAACAAGCTAGGAGCCAAGGATGCAGAGATGAATAAGAGAGGGTTCCTGCTTATAAAATTAGAATAGAGGTGGGGTGGGGAGGCAGGCATGTGACAGTCTAGTGCAGGCAGCCTGTGAGTCATGCTTAAAACAGTGTTGTAAGCAAAGTGCTGGTGATTAATTCTGGTGGCTGAGCTCCGGGAAGGCCTCAAAGAGGAGGTGGCATTTGAGCTGGGCCTTATGTGCAATCTGTACCAGAAGAGGTAAGCAAAATGTAGGGACTTAAAGAAGCATCATCTACAGACTTTGGCAGGAGGAGAGTGGTAGAGGGTGTCATGGGGAGTAGCGAATGTTCTAGACCAAGGTCATGTTTAAGTTTAGAGTCGGCATGGGGGCAGGAGGTCTCCTAAGATGACTCTGAATGTCTAAGCACTCATGCAAGAACCAGATACACTGACTTAATTCAAAGCTCAGTGTGGCTAGGAGTCCAGAGGATGGGAGGTGCTTCTTTGGTAAGTGGTGGGGAGCTTCAGCAGCGGGGAGGCGAGGGAAGAGGCAGTCACAAGGCAGCAGGACGGTGTGGGAGGTTTCAGGCAGAGCTGCTCTTTTGGAAGGGTGAAGCAGGCCAATGCCGCAAAGGCGTGGAAAGCTCTGGAGCCTGGGGGACAGTGTGCTGATGAGCTGCTTAGTCAGTGAAGCAAGGAAAGGAGCTGGGATGGCAGCTGACAAGATCTGTGGGGTCAGGAGGAGGGAGGCAGTAAGCTGCCTGGGAGTTGTGAGCTCCTCACTGTGCTGCCCAGCCTGAGCCTGGGGCAGGAGGTGAGGGGCCCCAGGCTTGCCAGGATCTGCACAGAGGGGTTGTGTTCCAGCTGTAGGCCTCTGGCAGCGTGGGAAGAGATCAGACTGTATAACACACACAGCAGAGCATCTGGCCAGGTGCAGACTGCTTACCTGGCAAGTGCTGCAGACAGGGAACAGGTGTGAGCCTGACCCTCACGCTGCTCCCACTGGCTTCCTCCCTGAGGGTCTGCCTTCCTTTTCCTCCTTTTTTCCCTTCCTCTTCCCTGTTCTCCTCCCTATCACTTCCCTTCCTTTCCACAAAATGTTATCCAGCATTTGTTACATTGTACTAAGTTTATTTTCTGCATAGAGGCTTAGAGATCCTTTTAAAGAGGAAAAACTCAGACTCAGTTATAGTTACACCAGCTTGGCTCCCTGTCCAGAGTCTTTGCAAGACCCTATCTGGACCCTGCATGGGTAGGCAGGATAGATCTTGTTGGCCCTTCTGTTCTTACGCCCACTTTCCCAATTGATGATAAGCCAAAGGGAATTGGAAGTAGGGCTCTCAAGTTCTTGGGCAAAGTTTCCTCCCTGTACAAGCCTGGTTTCTTCTCAGCCATAATTATCTTTTTAATGGCAATCTTACCTTCTTGCTTCCAGTCTACTTTACCTTAATTCCTGGCCATTTCTCACAGTTCTGAGAGAAAGCTGAAGGGTTCAGCTGGGAGGATTATTAAAAATAACCGTGGCTACCACTTACTGAACACTTACACTAATACTAGGCATCAAGTTAAACAAGTAACTTTATTTAATCCTTACAACAACTCTGTAAGGTAGATATTCCCCCCATCTCCTTCTTCAGAGGAGCACACAGAGCCTCAGAAAGGTCAGGTTAACTTGCTCAAGGTCACACAGCTACTTAGTGAGAAAACCCATCTTTCATTCCAGGCCTACCTAATTCTGAACCTGTGCTAATAAACATCACTTTAGACTGACTCCCTTTAGTCTTCAAACAAAGCCTCGTGCAGTGTCGTTTGCCTGGGAGGAGAGACCAGATGGCCACTTTCCCTCCGCCCCATCTCCTCTTCCCTGAGAGCCCGACTGCCTTCGGTTCCAGTACTGTCCACTCTGCTTGCACATCCAGCATTGCTGTATTACCTCTGTATGGGGGTCATTTCATCACCAGCTTTTCAGAGCACAGGGAGCAAAGGCAATTTGGCAGCCAAAAGGACAGAGCTCAGACACACAGAACACCCGAGGACAAGGGCAAGGGAGGGAGCCACTTCCATTTTTCAGTCCTGGTGACTTTATTGGCAGGACAAGGTAACCAAGCGTTGCCAAAGCTAGTTCATCAACCTCCTGCACGTCCCTCTCCAGCGGGAGCTGACGCTCCCATCCTCATCAGAGCTGGTTGGTGTCCCAGGTGCAGCTGCTGGCTCCTGTCCTGGGTCTGCGAGTGCTGCCCCCTCTCCCTCCAAAGCCCCCAGTTTCCTTCCTTGATAATTCAGAAATAATGACTATAACCTGTACAGCTACCTGCCACTTCGAGTGATTTTCATAAGCATTTTCTCAGTTGCACATTAATAATGAGGCTCTATTCCAAGAGTGCTCTGTGGCCCCTGAAGGCCTAAACTCCATCTGAAGTGCTGCTCCCCATTTTTTGCCTGGGTTTGAATCTTCATCTGTCTCCTTAACCAGGTCTGAACCCGAAGCCCTAGCTCTTGACTCTTGACAAGTAGCAGACGCTACCGTTACCTGGGAGGAAGATGGTGATGCCTCTTTAAGATACGGAGAGTCCGAGGCCTCAAGAGGTAAGGTCCTGAGTGAGGGGACACAGCTATTGAATAGAGAAGCCAAGGCTCAAGCCTGGAGTTTTCTGCACCACAACGTGCTTGCTTCATTTCTGTAGGACCCTCCTGGGCCAAAATTCACAAGCAGGATTTTGATGGTGAGGGAAGGCATATGCAAGGTGAAAAGTGTGCAGATGGGACTGGGCATGGCAAATGGTCCTGTACAGCTGGGGGCAGATGGGGCTGAGGACTTGGTGGGAATGTGAGGTCCCACTTTGAGGGCCTTCCCAGCCATCTTAATGACTTTGAACCTTATTACAGACATGGCCAGTGGGGAACCACTGGGATTTGGAGTAGGGGACAGTGCGACCATCTAATTTGGGCTTTAAGGTAGGTGGAATTTCTGAGGGACTGAATGTCTGATATACCAAGGAAAACAGTTGACACCAGTCCTTGAGGAATCAGATGAAAGAATTAAAGTTGACTTGAGTGGTTTTGTCCAGTGACAATATTGTTGGAGCTGGGGTGAATCTGAGGCTTCTTGGTCAACAGTAGGGAAGGCATCAGGAGACTTGTGTGTCCCAAGAGGCACTTGAGGCTGGCTCTGGGATTGTGGTTCTTGCCTGGGCCAGGGCAGGAGGCTTAGGGGTTGTCCATGGGGCACAGGGAGAGGATGGGTTCATAGGGTTCCCATCAGCTGAAACACCACATGTCAGGACTTCAAGAGAGAGCCATGAGGGTGGGAAAATGTACTTTCAGGCCCCAGGCCCATGGGGACAGGCACCTGTAGATTTGGGGAAAGGGTCCAGGGCTCTGGGGGCAGTGTTGAGTGGACTCCGTGGAATCTCTCCAGAGAGCCTGGGGCCTGGTCTCTAAGATCTTCCAGGGAGCAAGGGGGAGGGGCTCTGTCTTTCAACATGAGGTCCTTTGTAGGAACATACTTGGCAGATTCCAGGGTTCCAGTCCCTTGGAAGAGGATGTGGCTGAATCTCCCAGGCAAGGACTATGGCCCTGGGATCAGGCTGCTGGGCTTCAGTTAGACAATCACTCAAAAGCAGGCGAGTTCTCAGCTGGGGAGCTGGAGACATTTGGGATTCTCTCCAAAAGCTGGCCCATGCCTGCCTCCCCAGCCCACCTTCCATCACCCTGCTTCTGGTTCACTGCACTCCAGGTGCACTGGTCTGCTTTCCTCCCTTGACACCTTGTTTCCCTCCCCTACGTGTCCCTTTCCCCTCGTTACCCTGCTTGTCCTTTGGGTCTTGGCCTACATCCACTTCTTTGTGGGGATGCAGCTAGGGTCCCTTCTTGGATTTCATAGCTCCCTGTGCATCTTTATCATAGAATTTTCTTGCAGTTTGCAATTTATAGGCTTACGTGGTGTGTGTGTGTGTGTGTGTGTGTGTGTGTGGTTTTGTCCCACATCTGTCTCCTCCATGAGACTGTCGGCTTCCTGAGGGCAGCCACTGTGCTTGCTGTGCATCAGGTCTCCCCAAAGGCTGGCATGCTGTGGGCCCTCAGAAGGCTGCAGCTCTCTGGGGTCAGTGCATCCTGCCTCTGCACCAAACCACTGCACAGACACCTGTCAGGCCTGGAACTGCCCCATGCCAGTGTGGTAGCCTTGGATCTGGGAGCCAGGCAGGGCCAGAGGCTCGGGCATCAGCAGACAGACCTGGTGGCCACCACAGGCCCTGTGTGAAGATCCCTCAGGGGACTTTGGGGCCATTTCAGGGCATTCTAGGAGCATTCACTCAGTCATTTAAGACACTGACTCTTAAGCACATTTCTACCACAGTCTCCCCCAACTGACCCAAATCTCTTTTTGCCAATTTTCTCCTATAACATTATCCAGTGAGAATGCTGGAAGGTGGTGGTGTGATTATTGTGGAGAGGTTTAGAGTTTTCCAAGCAACTCTAGAGCCTTCCTTTCATTTAATACAAAAACCTATGAAGTAGGCAAGGCAAGTATTATCATCTCCACTTAACAGGAGTGGAAAATGAGATGCAGAGAGGAATGTGACTTGCCTTGGTCATGCGCTTGCAGGAGAGAGCAAGTCTGAACCCTGGTTTTCTGACTCCTGGAGCAGAGCCTTTTTCCCTGCGTGCGATGCCTCCACCGGAAGCAGTTTCACTGGGACAAACTTGTCCCTCATGCTCAGGATGCCAGTTCTTCACTGAGTCCAGGGTGCCTGTTACTGTTGGATAGAAGAATAAGAGACAGGGAGAGAGACAGTCCATTTGCAATCTTTTGTCCACCTGAATGAAACTAACACCCTGGGGGCATTCCACATGTACCAGGCACAGGGCAGGGGCTGTCATTCTGACTGGTCTTCCCCACCTGCCATCTTTGTTACTTAAACGATCCCATGAGATAGGGCTGACGCTGGAAAACCATTTTGCAGATGAGGAAACTGAGGCCTAGAGAGTGTAAGTGACTTGCCCAAGGTCACATCACTGATAGCCCAGCTAGGATTCAACTCCTGTTCTTTTGACTCCAAGCACCCACGGGCTTTCTGTGCCCTCACCTTACTGCTCTGGGAAGAAGCCAGGAGAAAGACAGAAAGCAGATGGTGGGTGATGGCTGTCTTTGACCTGAGGTGGGGGTCAGCTGCTCCAGCTCTTTAGCCTCTTGACAGGTTTGCCCAGGAATTAAAAGGGTTCTTTCCACTTCTGTTCCCTAACTCTTCCCTGCACAGGGCGGGCTGTGCACAGAGACCAGAAGTTTATTTAGAAGCTTCAAGAGTGTCTGCCCCCAAAAGAGATATGAGTGAGTGACGGGGCATTTGTCAAAAGTAAAAAGCAGGAAAGAAGAACAAAGAAAAGTCAGTGTGAAGCAGCTAGAGGGAATAGGAGTCAAGGGGATAGTGGCCAGCAGAGAAAGACAGAATGACTCAGGGAGAGGGATGGGTGCCCTGGGGAGGGGTGGGAACAGGCCTGGGTTGGTGAGCTGCAATTTGTGAAGTTTACAGATAAATCTTGGTCCTTTCAGCAAAGCTTATCTGTAATGGGCTCGGCTCACTGAGGCCCCGTCTCCTGTAGACATAAATCATTTTCTAATTTATAACATGAATAATTGATTTTGCCTCTGTAGCCTCAACAATAAATCTCCCGATCACACATGCATAAGAAAATAATAATAATGAAAGCGATCAGGGTATGCTGCCATCGATTAACTGTGAGAGGGGCCACTTGACTTGCAATTCATGGTTTAAGTATTCCAGGTGGCACTGTGCCCACAAGCCACTTCTACCCCTTGTCCCTGGCCTCTGCCTGTCACTGGTGGGCAGTGGAGAAGAGAGGGGAAGGGACTGAGAAGGGAGGGAAAGCTAGGTCTGGCCACAACAGGCCAGAGTTGGGAGCAACTCAAATGTCTCCTCAGTGGTTGTCATTCATTCATTCAACCACTGTTCCCTGGGCGTCTCTTGCTGGGAAGGCCCTAGGATAGGTGTTGTAGGGCAAAGCAAGACCTGGTATTTGGCTTCAAGGCACTTGTGATCCAGTTAAAGGATGGAGCTGGCATATGCAACTTGGTGTGCTCAGGTGGCTCTGAAGGAGAAAGGGGCTTTCACGCTTGTGTCGTGGTCCTCTTCAAGCCAGGAATGCTGGAGGTGCCCTGACCCCTCCCTCCCTCCTCACTGGGCCCTGCAGATCCTGTCTCCACAGGCCCTGGGACCCCCACCCCCTCATCTCCACTTCCCCACTACAGCCTGGGTCAGGCCTCCACCCCCTTTCTCCTGGCATCGCGGTGACCTCCGAAAGGCTGCCCTGTAGCACTCTTGGCCCCTTCCCCTATCCATTCTCCCTTACCCAGTGAGTTTTAAAATGACAGGCGGGCTTTCCCACAGGCCCTCCAGTTCAAGCCTCCCGCTCTACCCTTCTCTTTTCTCCTCCAGCTTCATCTACCATGATTCCTCTCCCCTCTGAGCTCGATCCATATTCGAGTTTGTAAAAAATTCCAGAGGTGTCCTGTTCCTCTTTCCCACCTCAGAGACCTTTCATGTGTGTTTCCTCTGCCTGGGCTGCTTCCTCCGCACCCCTGCACCTGTTGTTCCATCCTTCAGGTCTCAGCTGCAGCATTGCGGCTACCCTAGACCAGAGATTTCCCTGGCAAGCACTCCTACCACACCTGGAGCTTTCCCTTCATGTCACGCATCACGTTGGGAATTTCCTGCTCAGTATTTTTCCTTTCTGTTGATGATAAAGTTCAGAGGCCAAGACCCACACCTTCTTTGTTTTCTGCCACTGTTTCCTCAGGACACAGTATAGTGCCTGACCCATAATAGAGTCTCAGTGAATGTTTGTTGAGTGAATAAACAGATGACCTTCCTGCCTCAAGCCTATTTCCTCTCTGGATTGGCCTGCATAGAATACTTTTTTTTTGCAGACGTCATGGTCAGATTATCCTTCTGTTCACAAAATTGTCATTTGTTGCCCAGTACTTGTACAGGAAGCCCAAGTCACCTAGCCTGACAATGCCTGACAATGGCAATCTGTCCTGCTCAGTCACTCGGTCTTCATAGCTCATGAGTCCTCTCAGTGGGCTCTTTGCTCACTTACTGAAATCTTACTCATCCTTCAGGACTTGTCTTTGATGCCAGCTCTATTATAGCACTTATTTCCCTGCTTAAACCCTCTGATGTTCCCCTTGACTCTGGGAGGGAAGGGAAGCATTGAGGAGTTTTAGGAGGAAGAGTGATGTGGCCAGACTTGGTGCTGATTGTTCCTAAAGCTTCATGGGGGTGGATCAGAGGGGGAGGGACTAGAGATGGGCAGGCCTTCACTCTGAACCGGACCCTGGCCCAGCAACTCAGATCCAGGGCGCCAGGGGCTCGGTGAGGGCCTCACAGTGATTCATCACCCGACTTAGATTTACACCCAGTCGATGCCAAGGCTGCTGCTGTTTTATCCACTCAGTTATGCTGCTAATCAGGCCCCCAGGACTGCGGTTTCCCAGCTCCCTGGATCCCTGGCCTGAATCCCAGGGTCTCCCTTACAATGGAGCCTAAAAATAGAAGCCACTTTTA